GTATGTCATGGAGGGATTACGTTGTGAGAGGTAACAGAAAAATCACTCCCTTCAAAATATTGATCCAAATTTGGATTCTTTAGAGCCAGCATACAGTGTTCTCATATCCCCTAATTGTGTTTAATAAATTATTTATGTTATGTTCTTTGTAATGTCCCTTCATACTACGGTTTTCGTAGGTTATATTTTCTTTAAATCCTCATCTCCTTAAGAAAATGCTGAATAAATTAAGTCAAAAATTGAAAATAACGTTTAAACTGATTGCTTGCTGACTGTTTGATAGTGGTTCACTTTTCCATAATTTCACTTGGCCACTGGAAAGTAAGGTCTAGAAGGATTTCCCATTTGGCATATAATTGAACTTTTCTTTGTGCATAATGAATGCAGAACCTCAAATTAATGTCAGAGCAAGTCCGAATGAGTTCTTGTGTCATACTTTTGTGCGATTCTACATGGTTTAAGGATTTTAGTGCCTCCATATAACTTTTGGCCTAACTTCCTATTTCTCAACGTAGATTCACATTAATCAGGTACAAAGTATTTGACTGATTATTGGATGCAAATTACTTTCACCTTCCCCTAAAGAAGAGCACCTTGAATGGGAAATTGCAGTGTAAGAGTGTTTTTAACTGCTCGTTTTGTCTGGTAGCTCACGAGCCCTTCAATGCTTTTCTAGAAATCTTAAGCAAATTTAGTTAGTAGAATTTTTGTGTATCTTTTGATCTACTTTGTAACATAAATGGCAGGGTTGGGGGAAGAGAGGAAATTTCACTTGGTCAAATGGAGAGACGTCTGTTCCCCTGTTGGGGTAGGAGGTCTTGGATTGAGGAGTCTTGTATTATTTAACAAGGTCTTGTTAGGAAAGTGGCTGTGGCGATTTGGAAGTGAGGGGGAGCTTGTGGAGAGAAATTATAGGGGTGAAGTATGGTGTTATGAAGGGCGGTTGGTGTTCGGGCGAGGGTCATGGTTCTTATGAGGTGAGCCTGTGGAGGTATATTAGGAAATGATGGAATGAATTTCAAAATAGACTGGTTTTTGTGGTGGGGAACGGTACGAATGTCAGATTCTGAGAGGATTGTTGGTGTGGAGATCAATCATTAAAAGCTCGGTTTCCTTCTTTGCATCGCATTACCTTGGAGCCTTCAAGTATGGTGAGGGATGCTATGACTATTTATAATGGGAATCCTAGTTGGAATATTGCTTTCGGAAGGGACTTACATGATTGGGAATTGAATGATTATGCATTGTTTTTGGCCTCTTTGTATGAGGTGCACATTCAGGTAGGAGTGGAGGACTGTAGCAGGTGGAGGGTGGCACGAAATGGCATGTTTTCTGTTCGCACTTATTTTAAATCCTTATTGGAACCTGTGGAGAGCTCATTCCCTTGGGAAAGGGTATGGCAATGCAAATTACCTCCAAGGATGGTATTTTTATTGTGGACGGTTGTAAGGGGGTAGGTGTTAACGGCGGATAATCTTCGAAGAAGAGGATATTATATTACAGAATGGTGCTATTTGTGTAAGAGAGATGGAGAGACAATCAATCATCTGTTCATCCATTGTGACGGTGTCCCTTGGCTGTGGAATGATATCCTAGCTTCGCAACATATGAGTTGGGTGTTGTCAAGGCGTATAGAAGACGTGGTGCGGGCATGG